AGAGAGAGAGAGAGGACACGTGGCACTTCGCGACACGGTACCGTATCAACGACGACGGGGCAGCTTTCCGACGGCGGGCAGCGACGACGAGCTGGAAAACGGGCAGCGGCGGCGGGCAGTGATGACGGGCATTGACGACGGGCACCACGGCGAAGGCGGGCAGCGACGGGAACCTCTTCAGCGGGCAGCGACGACGTTCGAATTCTTAGGCCGCCCGAACGTATGTGCAGTCGGCGACACAGGAAAAAACATTGCGTTTGCTCGGCAGCATACCAAAACTGCGAGGCTGTCTTTCTATTCTGCTATACTCTGAAATCGGCTGTGTTTTTAATAACTTTTGTTCTGGGATGGTCTGTTCTGTACTTTTCTCTTCTACTCTACACCATTTCAGACTTGAGATTTTTTCTTGAGTTTTTTTTTTAAAAAGCAAAGCAAGCCTTAATTGCAACTTTTGCAAGGAGGAAAATACAAGAAAACATCATGGGGAAAGAACAAGGGAACATAATTCTAAACAGCTTAGAAGCTCAGTTGGTACAACCCTGAACTGTTAAAATGTAGACCTGAGTTCGAACTCCACCAGAGTCAAAAAAAAAAAAAAAAAAGCTTAGAAGCCAAGCGAACTGCTTTTGTAATGTGTGAGTGCGTCTGCATGTGTAAATATGTTTGTGAAGGAAGAGGAGGCGACAACCAATCATGAGAATGGCAATGATGCTGAAAAAGGGGAGGAAAACGATAGCACGATTAGACAGGAATCGGCAAGCAAGGCATTGGAGGCAGCAGCAAAAGAAAATCAATCTGCGGGGAAACTTCAGCCACTGTCTCAAGCAAAAAATTCTCAAAGTGAAGGTAGGTTCTACAAAAAGGCCCATTATAGGCGTGGTCATCAATTGCATGAGAATATTGTTCAGTCAATCGATGTGATGGACCACAAGTACATCTCCGAGTTAGTTTGTTCCTACGTTGCAGTGTACCCGCTATGTTGGCAGGGGCTTGGCCTACCAAACCACAATTGCTGGAGGGGTGCCAGCCATATTGCATGCCTGCCAGTTCGGTTTTTTTTGGGCACACGGCAGCAATCGGGATTGGAGAAGAGCCTTTCAGAGGTACTATTGGTCTGAATGCCATAAATAGGTTTCTTTTTCCCTTTCAATTTGGGCCATTTCTCTACACTGCTGCAATTTTAATGGATCTTTGAAAATTCGGGAATGACTCTCCCTCTGTCCCAGCTGTCAGGTCCCATGGGTGGGGGTTGGGGGTGAGGGTGCTGGTTGTCTGTAGGTAGTGGTGGTCCATCAGTCAGTGCATGTACTATAGGTGGGGGCTTGCCAGTTTTTGAGGAATGGATTGTTTGAGCGCTTGAATGATCGATGCGACCCTCTTTGATTCAGGACCTCCCTTCCTCCTCTTTGCCTCACTGAGGCATAGGGAGAAGGGGAAAACACTTTTCAGAGTCAGATGAAGTCAGGTTTGGTTCTGGCTGGGCATAATGCAGCGTATGGAAGAGTGTTGCACTTGTTTGACTGATTTAAGGGGTCATGCCCTGTGTTGCTTTGGTTTGTTGTTATTGGGAGGACGAGACCTGCGGATTGGGAGGATGAGACCTGCGGATTGGGAGGATGAGACCTGCAGATTGGGGATTCTTCTTCGCTGGTTGACCAGGTCCTTTATTTGGTTATGCTTCCAGCCTTGCTTAAGAGGGGTCCCCTCCCTCCGACGGTCTCCTCCTCTTTGCTTAAACCACCAGTACCTTTCCCAGCTACTTTTAAGAGATACAGCCACAACTTTTGGGGCTGGGCCGCCGTTTATAAATTTCATCGGCGGCCGTTGTCGTGTTTCGGGCCTTCGAAAGTTGCAGGGAGGGGTGAGCAGCTGATGTGTGGGGGATGTACTGGTGGTTTAATAATGCCACTCTTTGTGTTATTAACTTATTAAGTTGTTAGTTATTAATGGGGGAAAAAAAAAAACTAAGAAGACTATCCTCCCTCTGTCTCTCCATTACCTCTCGAGTCTCTACCTGTCTCACTTCTGCTTACTCATGCTTAGTCTGGACTACATTGGGTGCTTCATAACTTGTTCTGCATTGCAATCAGTTTCATTTTGAGTGCATTGTGACTACTTGCATCGTTGTGTTGTGGAACCGTTCTTATGATCGACTGGCTCATTGCAATGTTGTAAATTTGAGAATCAACCTTATCAAGTAAAAAAATGGGCAGACTCTACTCCCCCTTTCCCATCCAGCTATAGAAACTGGCCTTATTGAAGCAACTTTCAAATCCACAGACAAAACACTGTCTTATGGCTAATAATTTGATGAAACAACTACGCTGGTGTCAGGGTTTGCGTTTCGAATGTTTGCATATTACGAAGGGCCACGTGACTTTTTCCGTTTTTTTTTCGAACTCGGCACGCGCGAGGCCCACCGGTACTTGTTTTTTGTGCCCATTTGTGAACTCGTTTTGGTTCGCCACAGTTGGTTCAATGTGCAATGACCTGCAATTTTCTGAGTATTGCTGCTTGGTGGTCTGATTTGCTGAGATTTTTGTGTTCTGTGTGAGATGGCAATTTGCTTGCACGTCTCTGGTCCGTATGTGGTGAGTGCTATGTGGAGTACTAATTGTGTGCTTGCCCTGTGTTTTCTGTGTCCACGGAAGGGGTAGTTTAGAAATTAAAAGGGCCTTTTACCCGATACAGGCCTCATGAAAGTAAAGCAGCGTGAAAGGGTATCTCGCCAGGACCCAGAAACGTGAAAGCAGGTCAAATGTCAAGTTCTCTAGCAAGGGGCACATCCTAAACTGAAGTAAAGGTCATTGCAGCAAGACATACCTGTTCACCAGGAGATGCACACATCATGTCTGTTCAGATAAGGGTATGTCTGTACGTGCAGTCAGTCTGTCTGTTCGTGCAAAAGGAAGTGTCTGTTCGCACAATGTGAGTGTCTGTTCAGGCAGTAAGTGTGTCTGTTCGTCTAAGTTGTGTCTGTCCAAAAGTAAAGCCAATAAACAGAGTCCCAGTTCTGAAGTCTCAGGGACAGTCCAGATCCAGACATCCAAGTCCAAATCTAGGCCGAGAGGCCTCAGCAGCAGTTGAACTTCATTGGGACAGTACTGGGACACATGCAATGCAGGATTTGGGACAAAGGAAGGCCTGAAGTAGCCAAATGCAGACCCAGCGAGGAGAGGCCAGCACTATAAAGGCAGTAGCCAGCCTCATTCCTCGCCAGATCTCCACTGGCTTCAATGTGTGGAAGTGTTGTTGTGCTTGTGCGCCAGTCARTAGGAGCAGCGCTGGAGGAGARGATGMGCTAGACAARRACTGTGCGCTGGAAGGGATGCAGCCATAGCTGCCCAGCGAGTTAGTAGTRGWGTAGAGGGTTAGTAGTTAGCTATGAGTAGCATTCAGAGTAGATCCTTGTGAGTGAAGAGTGTGTATGCATCGTAGGAGGAAGGGACCGAGACAGAGAAGAGTGCTCAATCAAGATTTGGCTATGAAAGATACTTACCTGAGTGGGACTTGAACTGCAGAGGTGGCGCTGATGAGTAGTGACCACATGGATGACCAGGATATAATCTGCAGAAGTAGCGCCGATGCATGGAAGTCACAGTGATGAGTTGATGCTGGATTTGCATTGCGCTGTTGAGCGCAGGTCTCGGGGAACTATGAGACTCTTTGTGAATATATTTTTGATAATATAAGTCGTGCAACTCGGTTCTCTTCTCATCTACCTTTGTCTAATGTGTGAGACTCTTGATCGTTGTGTGCAAGGACAATGCATGACATGTACACACTTGCGTGAGTTGGTCTCCAGGACCCATGCATAATAGGGAAACTGCAGGGACAGGACTGAAATTGGGTGCGGATGGACTTGTAGAAAGGCCAGGAGGGACAGGGACGTAAGTAGACTTTGGCTAGTACCCAGAGGGATTCTCCAGCAACATGGGCAGGCCGCCAGATGTCTGGCAGGCTTAGAAGGGACTGTTAGTTTATGGAAAGCTCATGAGTAGTCAGGGCCTGTACCTATATAGCAGGTAGCGTAGATGCAGGTCCTCAAGTAGAATTGCAGGCTGCAATTACGTTCCCGCCAAAAGGCAGGAACCTCCAGCAGGTCTAGCACACCAGGGAGTCAGTAGTACTGCGGCCAAAGTGACACCAGAGGCACATTGACAAGAGTGTATCATTCAGGCACATTGATTGAAGCGGTATCTTACCCGGCAGTCATGCTGCCACTCTCCCCAGAGGGTGAAGGTAGGCAGAGCTGCTACTGAGTGGTGGAGCTGGAGGGCGAGGAAGAAGACCTCCATGGCTATGCAGGAGCAGTAGTAGGAGGGAGTAGAAGGTAGAGTGCCTCATGCCTGGCTATGGAGAAGGGTGAGAAAAGGTGTAGACGATGAGAAGGGGAGAAAGAGAGGAACTGACATGCGAGGCACAGGTTCACATCTGGCACAGAGGTGAGATGCCTTGTCTTGTATGTAGTTGATTTTCCTGTTATACTATCGCATATACCCACTAACCATGCCGCAGTGATTTCCATATGCCATTTTTGCTTCTCTCTCTCTCTCTCTCTCTCTCTCTCTCTCTCTCTCTCTCTCTCTCTCTCTCTCTCTCTCTCTCTCTCTCTCTCTCT